GTTGCGATCCCATTGCTGGTCCCTGGTACGGGCGCGACACCGAGTGTTGCGATCCCGTTACTGGTCAGTAAAAAAGACAAAAAGGAAAAAAAAAAAATTAGAAGTAAATCTTCATTATGGTAACTTAAGATTACTTCTCTATTACAAAGTAGTTGCACTTTAGATTTAAAGGAAAACTGCTTCTGTGATTTTAAAGTTGTCAAGTTACAGTGCCAAGGAGAAACTGCTTGAGATACTGACCCTCCCCAAATGGATGAATAAGTCTCAGAACACACATTTGTGTTGCTGGGTGATTTTCTGTTTTTGTTGTTTTTTTTTTTTGGGGGGGGGGGGGTTTTTTTTTTTTTTTTTTTTTTTTTTTTTTGGGGGGGGGGGGTTTACTATTTTGAAATTTGGCCTGGAGGAGGCGGATTGCAGTAATGATTTACAATTAAACACATGGCAATTTTGAATTATTAAATCTTGGATGCAGGCAAAAAAATGCTTTACTTAATTTGGGAGAAAGAAGCTAATTTACTTATTTTTACCTGGACAGTCTGAACAATGAAAGTTCTCGTAAATCCATTCCATGAAAATGAGCTTCTTTATTTAAAAAACAAACTAAAAGTTGAGTGGCCTCCAGGAAAAACAGTAAGGTAATAAAAATTCCTCTTCTTGCCAGCCCATGTCTAACATGCAGGAAGATGTAACAGGCTTACTGACTGGATAACAGGTTAGTAATCTGAACATTATGGCCGCTGGGGCTCCAAGATTAATCTTTTAAATATGAACAGATATTTTGGAAACACTGGCATATGAGTAACCAGTCATAAACAATTCCTTTGCTGAGTCACATACCCTGATTTTTCAGGGATAAGAAATTCTTCCTGAACATTGCCTTTTGAGGAGCAAACACACTGCACCAACATTCAGTCTCACAATTCTGTATGGACTGGATAAGAACTTCACTCTAATCAGGTAACACTCCAATCAACTTCGCTGAAAAACAGTTTTGTATCTATAAATAACTTGATTTCCTGTGCTCAGTTTAAGTGGCAGTTGCGACTGCAGGCTTTTTTGAAATTTGCTGAGGCTTCCGCTACATTAGTTCAGGCTGAACAGAAACTAACTCTTACAGAAGAAAAAGGGAAATTTAGTCTCCATCTTTGCCCCAGCAGAACACTCTTAATTCTATTAGAAAAGACCTAACTTACTAATTTTACATACTAACTGCTTGGGGAAATGACGTATCTGAAACAAACCATATGATACCTGTGCTCACCATCTCAGACTAAGCTATAGCCGGGCCAGCTACCTTTACGCTGACCTCGCCCCCCCCACATTAATCAATGCCCCCACTCTCCGAGGCTGTGGGATGTTGGCACAGGTATCGACAATGAGATGGGATTTGGGAGACTGTGTGTCCATGTTCTACCCTGACAGCCTCCCCTTGGGATGGGACTGGTCACTTATAATGGCTGAGATCTGATCACTACACGGAAAGAGACCAGAGGTGACACAACCTGTCGCAAACATGGGGAAGTTACAAAAGTTAAAAAAAAAATGTAGTTTCTACACTGTTCGCAGCTGATCCTCTCCTATAGCTCCAGGGCCAGCGCTGACTTGTGTAAGAAGCCCAGATTCCTGCTCAGATCCTGCTTTTGTCTTTGCTAGATGAGGTGGAGCTGGCCAAATCTGCTTCCGCCTACCAATCCAGCTCTCCTCTCACACCCATGCAACCCCCAGAGCCTCTTCTCTACTGGAGATCCCTGTTCCCGGGACCCAGGGACACTTCATACAGAGCATAAACCGGTACAAACCAGTTTGAAACACCCACTACTAGTCTCCAGCTGATATACCCAACCTATCACCCAGGGCAGCCACCGTTGAGTGAGTCCCCTTCTAAAGCACCCCCCAATAGTCACCCCCTATTCCCATCACTGAACACATTTCCTTTCCAACTGGACCACTAACCTCACAGAAAGGGACCATGTTTTACTTCTGTTCTCCAAGTCCCACTCTAGGAAAGTTTTTGCTGCTATTTACTCAAAAAGGCTCCAATGGGTTCACAATTTCTACTGGAACCCCCTGGGGCCAAATGTGTTTCAGAATTCAACATTTTTGGGTTTTAGAAGGATAATAAGATGCACACACTATATATCCTGTAACAAACCCGGAGTAACAGCCCTTTAACAAATACATTAACAAGGTTGAAGAGAAATGTATGAATATTCTCAATAAGAGGGAGAAATAAAGACTAAAAATAGGCCCCACTGGTTAGGGTAGGTCTGACAAATGTAAGTTGCCACAAAGTTATCAAACCAAAACATTTTGGTTTTCAGAGCTTACTGGATTCTGGAATGGGGGTGAGGGATGGTGGGCCTGGGCCAATCCAGCACCGACTCCATCGACCCAGTTCCACACTGTCCTTCACTTCCTCCCGCCGTCCCCATGAAGTAGGCGTGTTAGCCCAGATCCGACCCTGAGGCTCCCCGTGTCAAGGAACAGACATTACAGCCGTGCCTTAGCACACTGCAGGTGTTGCTGCTGCGGACTCCTCCGATCACTCTGTCCCTCCCTTCCCCACTTCCTGATCTCATGTTTACTCTTCCCTTCTCCAGGGACTCTCAGCCCAGCAGTTGGTTCTTCTTAATGTCCACCCTGTTCTTGCCATCTATGGTTTGTCCAGGCTGCTTCTCGGAACTCCAGCATCTCTCAGCAGCATTCCCATCCTTCCTTCTTTCAAGAACCCTTCGCTGATGGTGATTCGAGGGTCTCCCTGCCCCTCAAAACAAATTAGGTTAAGGGGTAGGAACCATCTCCAAATGTCTGGGAGGTCATAAAAAAAGCACACTAAAACGGACATAAAAAAAAAAAAGAAAAGAAAAAAAAAATCCACCTGACAGTCCTCAGCAAGGAACTTAACTTTCAAATGTGTATTAATCAGAATCTATTTCTATACCTCTCTGGCATTTCCTAGTAAGCCTCCCAAGGTCAGGGCAGTCTATTCATCTGAATCTTCCACAAACACATCAGCACATGATTAATTCCTACCTGGTGAAGGAGTGATTGTTTTGGGCTCACACTTTTATCAAGGCTCCACAAAGACCTGATAAAGTGTAAATCTAGGGTCTCCCTCTCTGCAGTACTAACTACATAATTTGTTTCTTTTCCAGCGTGCACCTTTTACTTTTAAATATTCCCATTCTTGATCAACGGCCCAATTTTAATGACAAGTTACCCCGACATCCATTGACCCACTACTGAGCTAGATAAGGGTGAAATCAGACAGAGGATCCTATCCAGACCAGGAAGGAGCTGGGGGTGGGAGGCTCCGCCAAAATGCATTTGGGGTCTAGGGTCGTCGAGAGCGGTGGCCCTAAAGCCCAGAGCAGGATAAGTGCTTCAACCCACCCCAGGCTCAAGGTGAGGGCACGGGCTCCGGGCACCACCTGTTCCTAGGGGCTGTGTTTTGTAAAATACCAAACCGGCAGCTTCGTGTGAAACTCTAGACCAGGCGCAGATCTCAGGCCTCGCTGGATCCACGGCCGAAGCCAACCGGCGGGGCAGAGCCTGTCAAGAGACCATCACCCCAGGCGGAGGGAGAGGCCGCCTTCCTGTTAGACGTGCTCGTCAGCGGCGTCATACAGTAAGAGGTGCCATCCTGGGCGCAGTGGGGACACCGCACGCCGAGCCACTAACCGAACCGGGCAGAGCCTGCTCCCGCCCGTACGGGGTCCCGGCCCAGCGGAGCCCATCCGCGGCTCCTCAGGTGCAGCCTGCGGCGGAAGGTGCCGGCGGCCCTTGATCTGGGAACAGTCAGGAACCCAACTCCACAGGGCCGTTCGCGGTCAGAAAAAGTTCCGAAAGCGCCTTTTCCTCTTACCAGCCTCTGGGCTTCTGGACTCAGACAGTCTATGTCCTTGCTCTGCGTGGCCGTGGGGCTGGTCATCCTGCCCGGCTGCACAGCCGACCTCTCAGGCGGCGGGGACAGACCCTGCGCGGCCGGCTCTCAGCGCAGCCACATGCCCGGGCGGCGGGGCGACGGTCCCCCGACACGCAGCCACTGGCCGCC